AAATTTGGGTTTATCCCAAGGTTCTCTTTAACTCTGCTCTTCCATAGCTACAAATATAAGCTTATGGAATCAGAAACTACTTGAGTTTATTATTGTTGCTTTCACATCCCTAGAAGCCAGTGCCATGTCTGGCATAGGGTTGGTGCTTAATAAATGCTTTCTGAATAGCTCAGATATCATAAGAACATAGACTTAGAGCTAGAAGTGACCTTTATGGTCATCTAGTCCTACTCCATTATATTACACATGAAAGAACTGAGATCCACAGAGAGGAAGTAACTTTCCAAGGTCACGTAGACAATGAGTAGTAGAAGCAGGATTAGCACCCAGGACCTCTGACACCAAATCCACCAGTCTTTCCACTGAACTATGCTGCATCCCAAACTGATTAGAATTTCTCCTTTTCCACCCACTCCTACAGGAAAGGTCAAAACAGAAGTCTTATTCTTGTCTACATTCACAGAAGGAAGGAAGATTTGAGAGTAATAATAGCTAGCATCTACACAGTACTTTAAGGTTTATATGTGTGTATGTATGTTTGTGTATACATATACATATATGCATATATACATGTATATATATGTATATATGCATATATATGAATGTATGTATGTATAATCTCATTTGAACCTCACAACCCCATGAGGCAGGTACTAGTATTCCTTTTTTTACAGATGAGGAAGATGAGGTCAATTGATGTGTGCAGTGTCATATAGCTAGGAAATGTCTGAGGCTGGCTTTGACCTCGGGTTTTCCTGATTCCAAACCCTATTTTCTATAGTACCAAGCTGCCTCCAGGGACATGGACAAATTTCTGAGTGACCATAATCAAATCAAAGAAAACCTGGAATTTGAGTTGAGAAGACTTAGGTTAGAATACGACCTTGGATGCTTACTGTTGTATGTGACTCTGGGAAAGTCATAACCTCTATTAGCCTCAATTTAGCTATCTGTTAATTGGGAGTAGTAACAACATTCATCTCTCAAGGCTGTAGTGAGAATAAAATAACATCTTCTGTTTTACAAGCACTAAAACATGATTCAATTGAATTAATATCATTATTATTGTAATATACATTCTTCTGCCCTTTGTCACTAGGTTTCCTCACATAAAATGAGAGGATTGAATTATATGGTCCCCAAGGTGCTTCCAGCTCTGATATTCTATGCTATATCTTCTAATGTCCTTCCCAGTTCTAATATTCTATGTTCAATAAGGTCATCAATCAGCAAGCATGTACTAAGCATCTTCCTTGTGCCGGGCTCAAGAAATACAAAGACAAAACCAAGATTGTCCCTGGCTTCAAAGAGCTTACATTCTCTTGAGATGAGCATCTTTTTAAATAAAAACCCTGGCAACATAAACACCGGTTAATAGTAGAGTGGAGGTTTGAGCTTGAAAGACCTCATGTAGGAGCTGAAGTTTGAGTTGGGTTTGGAAGGAAGTCATGGATTCAAAGAGAAGAATTTGAGGAGAAACTGCCTTCCAGGTTGGCAGAGAAGCCCATATGGAGGTGTGGAGATGGAGTGTGGATGGGTGACTGGTAGCAAGTGGGCTGGTTTGGCCGTACTGTAAAGGGTGTGGTGAAGAATAAAGGTAGAAAGGAAAGTTAGAGGCAAGATGAAATATGATAAATACCAAACAGAAGAGTTTGTGCTTTGTCCAAGAGGGCACTGGGATCAGTCCCTTTATCCTGAGGAGCCACTAAGGCTTCTGGAATGGGAGAATCATGGGTGAAAACTGTGTTTTCAGAAAATCACTTTGACAGCAGCACAGAGAATGGCATGGAGAAGAAAGAACCTTTCCAGGTAGGATGCTATTTTAATAGTTCTCATAAGAGGTGATGAGGATTTTAATTAGGCGGTAGCCACATGAAAAGAGAAAAGAGAATGAATGAGAGAGATACTATGGATACATAGACTAGAAGGCTTAGAAACAGTTTGGAAGTGGGGTGTGAGGGGAGACGAGGAGAGAGAATGAATAAGGATTTGAGAATGACTCTGAGGTAGCAAATCTGATGGCTGGGAAGATGATAGTACCCTTGACAGACAGTCAATCAATCAATGTACATTTATTATTTATACATTTTATTTTGTATTTATATGCATTTATTCATTTATTATTATTTATATAACAATGTACAATTATTAAGCACTTATTATGTGCCAAGGCACTATGCTAAGTGCCAAGGATATGAAAAGAGGCAGCGCCTAGCCGCCAAAAGACTTAGAAACTCTCTGAGATCTCTTCTGGCTCTGACTCTCATAGGCTATATCATAACCTCATCGTGAGAGAACCTGGGGGGACTCCTCTGAGATACACTTTGGAAGTTGATAGATGGACCTAAATCCAATTCATTAAGTACTTATGAATTACCTTAATATAAGACTAAACTTACTAATGCATTTGCACATGTATCCTGTGCCAAGCCTTTTCTCCAGTCTGATGGGCTGGGAAGAGGAAGAGGGACTGAATTTTCTCTGCTGAATTGTATGATTCTGTCAAGTCTAAGCCCTTCTCCAGCTCTAAATCTCAAGAATGTTCATGAAATCCACTTGTCCCTCCCAGATCTGGGAGATATAGCTAATGGTCCCATTTGATTGTCACAATGACTTCAGAAGGAGCTGCTGCAGGTATTATCATCTCTGTTTTGAAGATCACTTTTCATATGGTGATTTTATGGTGGAGTTTGCATAAAAAATTGAACAAGTCGGCAAGCATTTATAAATCACCTACTATGTGCCAGGCACTGTGATAAGCACTGGTGGGAACAACCAACCCTCAGCAGGCACCAATATTGAACCAAAGTAAATATGATGAAATTTGATGGGGAGAAATGTGAAGTCAGACCTGGGTTCAAAAAATCAACTTCCCAGATACAAGATAGGAAAAATGTGGCATTTCATGTAAAAATAAAAAAATTTGAGGGTTTTCATGGACCTCAAGCTGAATAGTATTCATAGCCTCAGGTGTGAGATATAGTAACCCCACAAAGCTAATGTGTCCAATCTTCGGCAGTGTGACAAAGAGACAGATATCAGCCAGGACTTGGGAGCATTTTAGAGTATTATGCTTAATTCTGGTCCCACATTTTGGGAAGGGCATTGATAAGCTGAAGGGCTTCCATGGGAGGCCTAGTAGAATGGTGTCTGACTTCCAAATCGGGTTATATGAGATTGGATCAAAATGCACTGGTGGTGTTTAGTGTATCCCCAGCACTTAGTATAGCACCTGACACATAGTAGGTGATTAATAAATGGTTATTGATTGATTGAAGATGAGCAGACTAAGAAGAGACAGGACTGACATCTTTGTTCATTTAAGAGGTTGTCATACGGAAGAGGCATTAGGCTTTCCCTGCACATTCCAAAGGACAGGCCTGGTATCAATATGTAGTGTGAGAGTGAAGCAGATTAGATTTGATGTCAGTGCAAACTTCTCAATTAGAGCTCTTCACAAATGGGAAGTTCTACTTTGAGGTAATGCCCCCTTCTTTTTGCCTCCCCCACCTTTTGATATCCAAATGAAAGGGGAAACAGCACAGGGAAGCTGAAAGAGAACTTGGTTGGAAAACTGAAGACCTGGTTCGAATCTTTACTTTGCCGCCCTTGTGATTTGGGACAAGCTACTCCTCTATTCTAAGTCTCAGTTTCTATCTGTAAATGAAAATTTTGGGTTAGATGACATCTAAAGTCCCTTTCAGCTCAGAATCTAGCATTCTATGATCCCATAATCCTACAAATGTAGGATGGCCATTAGTGAGGAATCTCTCAGAGGGGATTCTTACTCAGGTATGGTTTGGACTATAAAATTCTAAGGTTCCTTACTACCCTGAAATTCTGTGATTCCCTGACTTTATGAAAGACTGGATTATATGCAAAGTAAAAGAATCAGAGCATCTTGTGAAACCATTGCCAAAAGCTGGAAATCACTCTTCAATGTGGTCAACAAATAGTCATTGAACCTCTTCTTTAAGACTTCTAATGATGCAGAACTCTCTCCCTAAGTATATTATTACATTTCTAATTGTTGGGAAAAATTTTTCCATATACACAGCTGAAATTTACCTTTCTATAAATCCTGTCTATTGCTACTATGATACTATCTCTGTTTTTTATAACTGAATGTAACTCATGATAATGATCATAATAGTAGTTGACATTGATATAATGCTCTAGGTCTTGCAAAGCACTTAGCAAATATTACCTAATTTTATCCTCACAACAACCATGGAGGTAGGTGCTATTATCCCCATTTTATAGATGAAGAATCTAAGAGAGATCAATGTTAAGGGACTTGCTTAGGTTCACAGGACTAGTAAGTTAGTGAGGTAGGATTTGAACTCATGTCTTCCTAATGCCAGCTTTAGTGCTCTTTTTTCCTGTGACACCTAGTTGTCTGATCCTCTTCAATATGAAAAGCCTTGAGATATTTGAAGAGAGCTGTCAGGCTCTGCATGTACCCACCCAGCCCAAGTCTTCTTCCCTAGGTTAAATATCACCTGCTCTTTCAAACACTTGCCATCTGAGGCCGCAAGAGGAAAGTCCAATCAAGAGGAATGTCTTGACCACAGAGCCACAGATTTCTATTACTGCTCCCATTCTGGTCACCCTCCTGTAAGCTCATTCAGTCCTTTCACTCTTTTCCCTAATATTTCTATTCATGGTGCCATTTGAGTATGAATTATCATTATCATCTAATGGTAATAACCATAGTAAAAATAATATGTTAAGTTTACTGTTACTTAAAAGGAAGTATTATACAATATGAAAGCATATGATATATAAAATATTAATGTTGCACATAATATATTGATATATAATATAACAATATAATACAAAGGACACAGAACTCATACTCTTAAGATTTGGGTTTATATCCTGTCTCCAGTACTTCCAAATTACAAAATTCTGGCCAAGTTTAAGCTTCAATTTCATTTCAAGTAAAATGGAAATAATCATATTGACACTACCCACCCTGCAAGGATATTGTAAATGAAATGTTTTGTCAGCCTAAAAGTGCTATAGAAATAGTAGCTATGGCTAGTTTTGTAGGATCCAGAATGCATGTTCCTTCCCCTACTCGATAAACTTCAGTGACTCCCTGTTACTACTTGGTTCCAATAAAACTCCCATTAGGCAGGCATGTCAAGCTCTTCACCGTCTGGCCAATGCCTACCTTTCTAGTCTTCTTGTTCAACTCCATGCATTCTATGGTTCAGCCACATTTTTGTACTTGCCATTCATCTCACAATGGCCCATCTCCCAAGTCTGTGCCTTTGAACTGGTTGTCTGCCATTTCAAAGATATACCACCTCCTTATCTTTGACTCTTTAAAGTCCTGGCTTTCCTCAAGACTCAACTCAAACACTATTTTTGGCAAAAGGCCAACCTTCCCTGAAACAAGTAGTGCCTTCCCCTTTGTAAGTATTTGAAATGTTCCTGTTTACAGCCATGTGGTATCTCTCCTTAAAATGGAATCTCTTTGAGGGCAGGGACAGATCTGTACTTTTTCTTTGTATTCCCACAGCTTAGTACAGTTACTGATGCATAGGAAACACAATAAAAACTTGCTGTTAGATTGATTAATCCCTGTCCAATCTTCTCCAATGTCCACATAGCATCGTAACAATAAATAACACCATGGAGACTTTGCTCTTTGTCCGTAGCCTGGAAGACACTGGGAGGAGGCCAACATGACCCGGGTCCAGGAGTTCATCCTGTTGGGCTTGTCAATGAGGCCAGGCCTACGTGGTGTCCTCTTTGCTGTGTTCCTGACCCTCTACCTGCTGACCCTCTTGGAGAACACCATCATCGTTCTGCTCATCTGGAGCCACACGGAGCTCCACAAGCCCATGTACTTCTTCCTGGGGAACCTGAGCTGCCTGGAGATGTGTTATGTCTCAGTCACGGTGCCCACCCTGCTGCTTGGGCTGTGGTCAGGGCCATGCCATGTCCCCTTCATGTCCTGCATGACTCAGCTCTTCTTCTTCATCACACTTATCTGTGCTGAGTGCACACTCCTGGCCTCCATGGCCTATGACCGCTATGTGGCTATCTGTCGTCCTCTCCACTATCCAATACTCATGAGGCCCCAAGTCTGTCTCATGCTGGCCATGGCCTCATGGATGGGCAGCCTTAGTGTCTCTGTGATCAAGACAGTCTTCATTTCTGGGCTTTCTTACTGTGGCCCCAATGTCCTCAACCACTTCT